TGGCTTTTAAAGTATGTGCCTCGGGATAGGGTAGGGTTTTTGAGGTTTTCGATCCTTAAATAGGGTATCATTTTTGCCGCTGGCGGTTGGCATTGTGTTACCGGTGTGATCTTTAGATAGGGTCTACATCTACATTTATTAAGTTATTTATTAAGTGTCAGTATCAAAATTGTATCAGCTAAAATTCCAGCGCGTAAATGTCCAGCTAAACCAAAACAAATTCTATGCTTGATGCTTAACTTCTAAAATAAAGGACCCGTTCACGCTATTCTTAGTTTTTGTTTCCCTTGAACAGGGCGTCATTTCTCAGGTTTGCGCCTTAAATAGAGTATCAATTTGCGTTTTCTTTGGATCAACAATACTGCTACGGTCTTTCATTCACTTGGCACACACCTATCCAAAATTTACGGGAGTACCTCTCGGACTTGATCAAGGGTTCTATCCAGGAGTTCACTATATCTCTAAACTGTTGTATACACTGACTGTAGTTGGAGAAGTCTGTGTTTAAGGCTTGCACATTCATTTTACTTCACTAGGAAGCATTTAAATACTGAATACATTGAACCGATCAATTTCTTTGCTTCATTTCTTTGGAATGAAAGCGTAAAGACACTGCCCGTTGTATTTCATGACATCTTGATCTGTCAATGCTGTAAAAAAGCAAACAAAGATAGAAGATCAGAATCGACCAAAGGCGGAAAAACTAATACAAACAAGACAGAACATACTCATAATAAGAAGCCTTAAAACTAAAGACAAATTGAGAAAAAACTGGCTGCTACTCCTCAATGACCTCAATTTTCAGATCGTCGACGCCAGTTAAATATTAGGCTCGATTTCCGCCACTCCCTTGAGTCCGGTCAACGTTCCTCCTCCTTCTTCGGGGAAGGAACGCGGGGAGGAGCCCGAGAGGAGCAAGCGAGGAGACAGGGATGGCGCAGTGGTGAGAGCGCTCGCCTCGCACCGATGTGGCCCGGATTCGATTCCGGCCCGGTGCCATATATGGGTTGAGTTTGTTGTAGGTTCTCGCCCTGCTCCAAGGGATTTTCTTCGGGTGCTCGGGTTAATTTTCCTCCCCCTACAAAAACCAACATCTCCAAATTCCAATTCGACCAGGATAGAGAACCCGCGTGAAAACCAGCTGAGACTAATGTGGCTTCCTCTCTAAATATTGTAACTTATTTCTATAGGAGCGCGGGCTCGTTTCCCGAATAGCGGCTGGCAATCGAGGCTACTTAATTATTGGAGACCGAATGCTACCCCAACAAGACGTTTTAGTTCTCAACTGTGAAACTTACCCGAGTCGCAGTTAGGCGATGTGGAGAGTGCAACGTTTCTTCCTCTCAAACCAAAAACCGCTGCTACCTACAACCACACCAGGAAATAGCCACAATTAGAATCTTACATGGGAATGAAGAAACGCCTGCCTGATTGGAAATACTTTATACAACTACAGCGACAAAACTGCGGGGAAAAACACCTACCCTAATCCATGATTGCCAGATTTAGATTTTGCCCCTGACTGAATAAGAAGAGTGACCATTTGGCCACCGTGGCCGGCTCCCTATCGTTTTCCCGAAAAGGCAAAACGTTGCTTCCCAAGACAGAACACGTTCCGACACAAAACCCAACTTGATGCCCAGAACAGTGTAGCTAAACCAGCGAGCAGGTATCACTCGCGCGAGAGATACGTGAAGCCGCTGAAATCGGCGAGTGGAGCGAAACGACAAGGCACGACTCAAACGTGAGCTTGCTCGCAAATTTAGCTTTCATGTTTAGCTTTCAAATTTAGCTTTCAATTTAGTTTTCATGTTAACCGCAAACCGGAAACGACAGTCTCGGGTTAGGCGCTTGGTGTCACACGTTTATAACCTCTAGACCTATCGCTTTAGCTACGACAACGTGAAAGAACTATTCACTTGCACAGGCCGCCATATTGAATTTCCAGTAAACAGCAGTGTTTGATTTTCAAATGGCAACAAAAAGACCCATTTTCACTCGTTCGCTAAAAATTACGTCTAAAAATGTACTAAAAAGACTGGTTTACTGCTTTTCTTCCTAAGTACACGGTATAAACAGAGATTCAGGATAAAACTGTTCAGGTAAATCGCTTCCGTGAAAACCTACTTCTCGACGTTGAAAACCTGCGTTGAGAACTCCGAACGTGACCGCAGCGCTTGGTCACGTGACTTCTAGCAGTTCCGCTGAAAACTGCTGGACTTTCATTATCCTTACTGTACCCATACGTACCTCCCGTGTCAAATGGTCCAAATTTAACAGGTGCTTTCCCTGGGGGTTCTCTAACAGCACCGTGGCTTGGTGTCCCTTGACACCTTGCGCTGGTTCAACTCCACAAAGTTTCACATTTACAAACCGACACACGGGGGAGGTGTTGGGTTGTTTCTCAGAGGGTAGGGGAGACTTATCAGTGGCTTCTGTAGTACTACNGCACAGGTGTACTTCCGTTTCAAGGTAAAATTTCCATTCGATCCTAATCAAACACTAGATAGCTTATTCTTAAGCAGTGACGACCCAGAGGACAACGCCTAGCAAAAATATAAATTTCTCTGTTACCTTCGAATGTCGCAATTGTCTAGATCTGTTCAGTGCGCCTGTTGGTCTCAGAACTTACTCAAGCTAAATATGTAATGCCAGAGTCCAATTCCAAATGAAAATACTGAAATGAAAATGAAAATCGTTCGCGTTCTCCAAAATACGTAGAACTTGGTTATTTCACGTTGTTGTTTTGCAGAGGACGGCAAAAAAATGAACACGTGCACAGCCATTGTTTTGCTCATTAAACCTTTTGTTTGGTGACGTTCTTGTTGCCGTTGCCGTCGTAGCCAGATTAAGCTCTCTATTGATTAGCTGGAGAGAAATGATTCTGCACTGATCGCTGCTGCTAATTAGCACTTGTTAAGCTTACCTTTTGACATAATCTGTCAGTTTAAGTGGCATGCTTGTGAACTAACTACGTGTAGCTATGCACATTGACCACTATAAACAATAACATTTGACCTTTTTTGGAACATTCTTTTCGGATTTCTATATGTATAAATGTATACTGCAGTGAAAATTAAAAATTAATTATACATTTGCCAATCACAATAAGGATAATAAATGCTAAAGAATAAACCGCAGTCCTCTGCTACGGGAAGTTAACAAGGAATCTTCTCAGCTTGCAAGGAAACCAGAACTAAGGGAAGAAAGCTTGTGGTTTAATAATGTGGTTGAACTGGCTAAAGCAAAGCGATAGGAAAGGCTAAAACACAAGAATGGGACATGAACACATTCCAACCCCGTGGAAAAAAAAAAACGAAACAAAGTAAATTAAGAAATGTGTAAAAAACTGATCTTTAAGTACTCCTTAAACACCTATTTAAACAACTTAAACAACTGAACCTGCTGTCTACACATAATCAAAGAATAGTTAAAATGGCCACCGGTGTTTACAAGACTGTCCATGGGCATGAAGTCCCCAAAGGTATTGGAGAGCTACTGAGATCAACTAATTATAACATCACAGGAGAGTACATATTGGAGCTGCCTAAAGTAAAACCTACAAGTTATTTACGTTTTATGATATATAAAAAAACCTGACTGTTTCACAAACAACCGTGAAAAAGTGAGAAATGAAGCCATCAATATCCTTGCTAATGAAAATAGGGAAATACGTCACTCGGGTACCGGATGTAAGTTTTGTATGAATTTTACGAGTGCTGTATTTTCTAGTAAAACACTCATGTCTATCTGTGCAAACCTTAGGGATAGAGCTGGAGAGAGTCGAGCACTGAAGCGAATTACATCAAGGATCCTACTTTCATCCAATGGTTCGTTCTCTATTAATATCGCTACACCATGTTAAAAACATACTGTTCTACCTTCCAATTCAGAAGCATATCACCTTAGGTGATATGATTCTGTCCAATTCTAATACGTTTTCCGATTGGAGGAGAACGTGTCACGTGCCGATTTTTCGCAGTTTTTTTTTTTCTATTTTTGAGTTGGGAGGTGTAAAAAAACACTTAATGACTGGCTCCGAGGGAAACAGTGAGTTTTGTTTCCCTTGGGGCCGGTCATTAAGTGCTTATTGTGTTTTTTTTTTTTTTTTNGCCATTGATCGCTAAAATTGAGTTTAATAGTTTAACGTAGGTTATTTTATGGGGTGAAATGATTCCAAAACTGTTCATTTTACTGACAGGGTATATAAAGCCAAAATTACCACACACATTATTTTAAATGTTTTTTTTTTTTTTTTTTTTTGCGAAATTGATCGCCACTACGCAAATGAAGTCAAAATGAAACAAGATCAGGAACAAACAAATCGTAAACAAACCTGATTTTCCTTCACTGTAAATACCGAGAATGGTTTTCCTGGAGCACAATCCTCTTGAATTCGCTTGTCTGCTTCACTTGACGGTTTGACTTCGACACTAACCAACTATATAATAAAATCAAACAATTCGGAAAAATTATAAAAAGATATGTCACAAAGATCTTCCGCGTTCGGATATAAGTCAAAGAATGAAACTTTGCACCCGGTTTGGGGTAATGCGCGCTTGTCCATGGTGTGTGGGATATTTGGGATTTGCTGTCTATGATGGGATACATTCCATAATATCTAGCGTTACTAGCAGAGTGGTGACTTCAAAGTTTGTCCAGGAATTTGGTTTTATGTACATAGACAATTCCATGTTGGATATAATTTTTCTGAAAATACGTTTTTACACTAAACTGACTTTTACCTCCAAAGCTTTTGTAAGGAAAGGCCTGTTCTCGTCGAGAACTTGTCTTTCGTCAAAGGGCAGAGTGGTCTCTAACGCCGCTGGACCATCACGCTCCACAGATTCCTGTCACACAATAAAACGTTACGCCAGTTAATATAGAGTGACGGAAAACAAAATCCACTTGAAACTACGGTAACACTAGAGCATAGTGAGGAACAGGGATGGCGCAGTGGTGAGAGCGCTCGCCTTCCACCAATGTAGCCTGGGTTCGATTCCTGCCCGGTGCCATATGTGAGTTGAGTTTAACAAAGTGACGTCGGTTTTTCATGCGTCTGTCCTGTTATTAATCATGAATTTTGTCATAACATTGTCAAAGTAGCTGTGGATGATCCGCAAACTACTTTGACTATGTTATGACGAAATTCATTGTCAATAAAAGGAAAGACGCATGAAAAACTGACGTCAATATGTTTTTTACGAAAACAAATTGTCCGCTCTCTCTCGTTGCCGCATCGCATAAATTATAAAAATTCATGCGTATGTCCGCTTATTGACAATGAAAATTAGCCTATGAGCGTGCGAGAATTTCTGCAGTTATTGTAAAATTGTTGTTGGTTCTCGCCTTCCTCCGAGGGTTTTTCTCCGGGTTCTCCTGTTCTCCCCTCTCCACAAATACCAACATCTCCAAATTCCAATTCGACCAGGACAGAGGACCTGCATGAGAACCAGCTAAGGCTGATGTGGCTTCCTTTCTAAATACTGTCATTTTATTTGATTTATTGTATTTTCAAAAAATCGTAAATAACTCGTTTCTACTTGCGGTACCTTGACGTGTTGTACAAAAGGCATCAGCTTCTTCATGGCACTCTTCACTTCTGGTACTTGTTTCATCCTGTTCATGATGTCCCTGTTGTCAGGGAAGTTCCCTCCCAGTTGATTGTACATTTCCTTAAGGGTGTTAAGAGTGGCGTGCTGCCAGGCCGGGTAAGAGCTGGCCACGTAGATGATACCATGGGTAGGTTTCTTGGGCGGGGCTGCATCTTTCTGTGGACAAACACAAAACAGGTCTCAGGTAAAGCAATCCTTCACAGTCAATGTTGTTATTATAAAACAAGACTATGGACCTTATAACTAGAACAAAATTGTGCACAATGCTTGACATCAGTTCAAGGGAAATTCTCTACTTGCACAAATCCCATAATACACCTCTTTTACCCCCAAAATATTTGCATAGGCATTGTTTTAGATTTCTCTTGGGCCATCTTCATGTCTCAGGAGAAAGTGCAAACAATGATTATGCAAACTTTTGGGGGGTAACAGAGGTTTTTTATGGGATTTTGCAAGTAGAGAATAGTGCTTTCAGCTAGACGTTTAAGAGCAACACGAGATAGTTATGAGAGCCAAAGAACAATGGCAATCATTCTCCTATTTTGACACAGCAACGAACAATTCACATTTCACATTTCCTTGGGAAGCTTAAACAAACCACGACGGTAATGGCAACGAAAACGTCACCAATGAAAAGGTTTAATGAGCAGACGAATGGCTATGCACTTGCATTGTAAATATCTGTACTCTTCCGCAAAACAACAACGTGAAATGACCAAGTTCTGTGTATTTTGGAGAACGCAGGCGACGACGGCAAAATATAAGGTACAATATAACTCCATTTTTTAGTAGGCGTCGTCCCCACCGTCACCGTCGTAATTGTTTCAGGTCCCTGTCACTGTACTCAGTGCGTTACGTGGGGCAGAGTGGCCGAATGGTCTGAGATGTTGGATTTGACATCATGAGGCCCCTTAGTTCAAATCGTCTATCGTGTCATTAGCTGAAGTTGGACTCAGTAGCCCAGAATACGCTTGCGAAAAAACAACTGACAGTTTCTCTGTCTGACTGATAATCTTCCACCAGTTGGGATTTTGAACATGTCTCTATTGCATTATTTTTTTTCTTATGTACAGTGTCCTCAATTAGCACAGTAATGCTAACAACATTTTAAATGAAATCATTTATTTTTTTTATGGTATTACCTTTTTTCCTTTGGGGTTCATCATGGCCTTGATTCGTACCCGGAAGTCATGCGCGCGATCTGATAAATAGTCAGCTGATTTCAACAGTGGCTGATCAACCTCTCCTGCTGCCGGCCATGACGCGTTCATGATACTTCCACTCTGCAAATAACAGCACGAAAGACTTAGTTATCGCTTTTATAGCATTATGGCGGGTCCTGTCTGAGAACAACTGTTCTAATTGTTTTCCTATCACGTGAGTAATAGCTGAATGCTTATTTTACTGCTAAAAAATGTTATGCATATTTATTACATGGCTACGAGGGCTATGATTAGCTAATCAGTCAATAGGCCATTTCCGAATCCTTTTGCTTTTGTTTCAAAACCAGTCCTCATGCAAAACCTTTTATATGAAAATGAGTTTGATTTGCATGAAAATGAACCTGTAGGCGCAACACATTTTCATATGAATAGGCCCTTTGCAGGATCCGGTCACATGGTACTGAATTAATTATGCTGGGACGCAAGTTACGCAGTGGGATTTTCGAAACAAAGGAACTCGTACCAGTACCAGCCCGACTTTCCTTTGTTTTGAGAGTCCCACTGTGTAACTTGCGTCCCAGCATAATTAACTCCGTATTATGTGACCGGATCCTGCAAAGGGCCTATTGTTCGTACTTAGACTCGTTTTGACACAGAGGGAGAGGGCAACTCGGAGATGGCCTATTTGGGTGGCCTGCGAGCAGGCTCACGTTGGAGCACAAGCCGCGAGCGCGAAATCGAGCCTCTTCACCAGACTCCTTCCCACCGGATCGCTTTGCTCTTCGCCGCTCGCGCGTGACTCAAAGGTGAGCCTGCTCGCAGGATATATTTGGGAAGCAGAGGTGGCGCAGTAGTGTGAAATTCGCTTTCCACCAGTGTGGCCTGGGTTCGAATCTTGGACCTGGCGTCAAAGTGTGTTGAGTTTGTTGTCAGTTTTCGCCCTTGCTTAGAGGGTTGTTCTCCCCGGTTCTCCGGTTTTTCTCCCTTTACAAAAGGCAATATTCCAAATTCAAATTCGATCTTGATGCGCCAAAAGTTTATAACGAGTTCATAACAGCTCCTAATGACATTTACAATTACAATAGTCGGGGCCGTGATTTTGGGTGTTATGCCCTGTTAGCTGAAAGAGCACGGACAGTACAATTTTAACTAGCCTCTTCCAGGCGTTCAGTAAGTTGAGACGCAGCGCGAGGAAACGGCGGAGCGAAAAAAGGAGAGAAGCTTTGTGCGAGGAGCGAACGTTCTTTTGCCTTCCCGCGCCGCGCTTTTCTTTTATTTTCTCGTGCGCCATTTTTCGCGCTGCGCCCCAACTAACGGAACGCCTGGAAGACGCTGAATGTTAACGAGAGCCACATCATTAAATTTTCTCTTACTCTTACTTATTCGGAAGCGTACGGGAAGAGTATCGCTCAGTAATAATCCCGCCCTCGGTTATAGAAGTAAACTTTCACGCTTAAACTTGGTCACAAGTTAAATCAACAAAAAAACTCCGCCGTTGTTGACAACTGCAAAGTCTACGGAAAATTACACACCCACCCCTCGCTTCCCGGGCTTCAACACTGCTGTTTGTCTTGCTTTAAGACAAGGCTTAAAAAAGATGTTAAAATTTTCAAAGTCAGTTGACAAAGGCAAAAGAATAAACCCACGTTATCTGTGAGAGATGGACGACGAATCCTACAGCTGAAGGGAAGGAGAACTTGTAAAGATTCCTGATCTTTTCATGAGTGTTGAATGGAACTAGCATACTACGTTTCGTTTTAGGTGACGTACCTTTCCGATCAGCTCCCACAAGTGTTCAGCGAGATGTGGACAGATTGGACATAACAACAGCGTTTGAACCTAACAACAGAAATAATATTACCTTTTAACAAATTGCACGATGATTTGCACATGGCGGGGCATAGGTTGGCCTGCTAGTTCATTAATTAAGGAAATATGAACTCATCCAAAGTTGCGTTGAAAAACGTTTGCCTTTAGTAAAAGGAAACATTTCTGAGATGATATATCCTTTAAAGAACTGCGTACTTCTGTTCAGAGCAAACTAGGATCACAGATTCATAATAGTTGACCATTATAAGGCCATAACCTACTTGTTCCTAACACTAGGTGCCAAATGTACTCGGTGCATCTTACCTCAATGAACCGAAACACGAGGTCCCTATGCATGCCCACCATACAGCCCTCTCGGTATCTGTCCCTAGCCGCCTGCAGTTCATAGAAGCCAGTCTTTAGCGCTTCTCTGTACATCATGTTCTTATAGTTAGTGTCTGTCTCGTCGATGGCTTTGTTAATAGAACTAAAAATAAAATCGTCAAATTCAAAACATCGAATTTAGAACTGTCGCATCAACAAGTAACTTGGTCATTGAATCGAGACCTTTACATCTGCCGAGGAGTTCGAGTTTTTCCAGGCTAGGTTGTGTTTCTGCTATTCAGTAATAATACGGTCAAAAAATTATGTAAAATTCATCTCTGCAAACTCGATCTTGATGTCGACGAGCTGCCAGCGACGAGTTGACAGAGCTGCGTTTCGACACGATAGTCACAACCAGTTACAAAAATGTTTACACACTTTGTACAAAAAATGGCTTTACTTACTTAAATGAATCACAAATAACGAAGATGTCACAAAATATCAATCAGCCCCCACCCTCCCCCAATCAATGTTGTTCATCTAAGTTTTGTACATGATATTGCTTAGGCAGCAACATCGGAAAGGGGGGGAGGGGAAAGATTATACGCAATAGCGCGGTGAAGAGTTGTCTCTCGTTAAGGTAAGATATCTCAACTACTTTGCAACTGGTTGTAGTGCGCTCATCATGCAGGCAAGCCTGAGGGAAATCTCAAAGTCGTCGTCAGATCTAAAGGTCTCTAGCACTACGACCCAAACAGCAATGGTTTGATGTGGCAGAACAGTACTCGACAAATGACGTTAACACATAAGGAAGTGACAATGACTAACGATGGCAAAGCTGGAAATGGATTACGATATAGACAAACTTGAAAACGGAGGCAGAAATCAGAGCTACAGTTAACGGGAAACACAACAATAATGGTTCGATTTTGTAGAACAGTACTCGTCAAATGACAGGAACTCATTGGGAAGTGACAATGAATAACGATGGTAGAGATGGAAATAGATTACAATATGGACACAGCTGTAAAGGTTTCGTTTGTCTTGGATTATTTGTTGTTACAATATGCCATTTCTAAGTCGAGAAATCGAAGCATTCCTCCGTGCTTTCCCTCTTTGGCATGAAAAAAACAACAAACAAACAGGAGCAAGTGAAAGACGCCTTCTTTTGCGACGTGCCTCTTTCCACCTTGTGTTTGCCTCGAAGTAAGATGAAAACGATACGGACAAAAACCACACCGGAAAAAGTCAGGAACAAAATCAAACTCACCTCTCAAATACTCGATCGTCAAAACAGGTTGTTGGCCCAGTACGCAGAGAATCCTTACAAGCGAGCATCTCCTGATTGCAGAAAGAAACAAATGACTGTCAACACACAACAGGGATAACCATTTAAACTAACATGATGCAACAAACGAGCTGCTGGTTGTTGAAAACGAATTGAACGCTTCTACTCCAAAATGTGCAAACAGGTGTAATAAAAGGGTGAAGTAACCCTATATTTGTGTTTCGAGGTTAAACACACTCGCAGCCTGGACGTGCTTGTTAAACAAATATTGCAAATTAACACAACTTTACTAAGAATCTCAATTGTCATAAACTCGGTTCTATCGAAAACACATTCAGCCAGGACAGAGTGGATCCTTGGAACAAGGGACGTCGGATTTCGAAGACTAGTGACCTACACCACACGGCTACCAACCTACACAGGGAGCTGAAGCAAATATCAGTAAAACTACTAAAAGTAAATGAATTTATTCTGACCTTAGTCCATTCGAGGAATGTAAAAAGACGCAAAATTCCTGCATCAGCCATCTTTTCCACAAAGTTTGCATCTTCCATTGTGTCTCCAGCATCAGCCAAGGACAAACGCATACCTAATCAGAACATCAACGAGGGTTAATCAGCCGCAGTGGGAGGGGTAGAAAGGAGATGAGAGGAGAGAGGACAAGCGTATGGCGACAGACCATTAAAGCGAGGGTTAATCAGCCGTAGTGAGATGGGGAGAAAGGAGGATTGAGAGACGGAGAGACAAGCCAACAGTGTGAATGGCTAGAACGTCTTGCGAGGTTTTCTCTCATTCCAAAACATCACTGATCAGCTTGTTCGAGATTAAGTCGACAGTGCTAAGTTCGTCTGTATTTGGCCTCCGGACACCAAATTTTGTTCAGTAGAACTGCGGGTAAGGCTTTGTTCGACTTTGAGGAACCGACAAAACACTGACAGGGGAGGGGAAGGGAAAACTTACCGTCAGCTGAAAACTTGTCCACAGCTTGCCGCAGAGTGAGGAAGTTTCCAGTAGATTTTGACATCTAAGAAAATTAACATTTCATATCAAATAGTAACTGAATTCCCTTCTTAAGTAATTTCGCAGTTAAATTGATTTTTGGTTTGTTCACTTCACCGAAGTTCTTTAAGAGGAAAAGCAAATAACTCACGGAAGTAAAATGATATAATATCACGTCAATACCTTTTCAGAGTTCAGTAGCAAGTGTCCATTGGCTCGAACACTTCGTGGCCACCTGAAAATAAACAAAGGAAAAAAAAACAAATAATTCTCTCGAGAATACTTTTATTACAAAATATGATCCAGCCTGCTCGTAAATGTAACCCCCTACTTTATCCCCACCCTCTCTCCCAAGAAGATAACGTGTACAACTCTCTCAGCAGTGCATTTTTCTGAGGAGGGGAGGGTGGGGGATGGGGGGATCATACCCAGGTATAATTGTGGCATGGAGGTACCCATTATGAACAGATTTTGTTTATCAACTTGTATAAAACAGTGAATTTATCCATGATAGTGACACTCACTTGTCTTTCTCCTTTGGCCACACGGCACAGTGATTGTACAGGAAATACGTCAGGTGATTAGGTACCAGATCCTTTCCGGACACCCGCAGGTCAACTGGGTACCAGTACTGAAACTCTTGTCGCAGTTTGCTAAAAGAAGAGTAACATTTGTCAGCGGTTCCAGGATAAAATCTCAGTGACTCTTAATAGGGAAAGCGGCAACCTACACTTTTAAGTTCTTGAAAGAGGAAACCAAAACAAAATAAGTTGTAAAACAGTCGGTAAAGCCCCTGCCATTTTCGGTAATTTCTGGTTAAGAACCCTTAGGGATTTTGATTCGTTTCGTTTCATCAAAAATTGCAGAATCGCTCCCAAAGTGGCCGAGTAAGTAATCAGTATAGATCACATTTAGCAACAGGCTATCGAGAGAACTGCCGGCTACAAGAAACAGAATTTCTTACAGAAGGGAGTAGGCGGCTTATTTTTCTCCAGGAGAAAGAAAAAAACACAAAAGATACAACATCAAAACACGCACGATGACTGAGATCGGTTTGAATATATCTGTATCGGCAGATTAACAAAAGACGCAATCTGCTCACTTCTAACTATGTTCTAAGGCAGCGTCCACACTATATCAGAGAAATTTGAAAACGCAGCTTTATTTCTACGGTTAGGCCTTCCGTCCACATTAATCCGGCACGAAAACGCTCTTCAAACCGGAGAAATCTGAAAACGCAGCTTTATTTCTACGGTTAGGCCTACCGTCCACACTAATCCGTCACCAAAACGCTCTTCAAACTGGAGGAATTTGAAACCGCCAGCTTTTCGTTTTCGTGTGGACGGAAAACATTTTGAAAACGGAGTTTTTCGAAAACGATGACGTCACGATAATCACGTGATTTCCCTGACCGAGTTTTCCTCAAACACAAATCCAAAATGACCGGTGATTGGTGCGTTTTTTAAATTCCTCCGGCGTATTGTGGACTGGGCCTAAGAGGATACTATTCAGGGATTTTCAGGCACTTTAGTAGTTTCTGTCCGATATCTACGTTGAATTTAACTCTAATGCAAATAATAAAAATAAACCGTGAAAAGGGCTGTTGCAAATACGGTCAAAATTAATTGGTTACCGACCGCGAGTTGGCATTTTCCAAGCTTAGCGCTTGCTTCAGAAAATCAACACAGCCAAAATCAAAACAATATCACTGGCATGACTTTTTTGAGAGAGTCATCACGTAGATGCTTTTTGTTTATAATATAACTTTGAAATTACTACGATTATCAGACGAGTAAGGCGCGACGGAGCTTTGGTGACAAAGTTTTGGACTTAAATTACGGTGTCGCCACGGGTAACTTTCCTTGTTTCCATTGGTAACAATATCGTCGCCTGCAATTTCGCGCGCTTTGCTGCCAATGACGTCAAAGGCCGACAAGTTGCCACTGGAAACAGAGCCAGTTGCCCATGACAACAACACAAGTTGAATGGGTCACCAAACTTTCGTCGCGCCTTACTCGACTGATTATCGTAATACTTTTAGTCCTTTATTTTGCGCAGCCGCATGTAAAGTGCTAGGCTGCAAATATCTTGCCAAAGGGTATTTTCTATTACCAGTCAAGCTTTCATATTAATTGCATGTCCCACAACAAGGTTTGCGACATTTTACGAGTCAGACAAAACAAAGAAAAAAACAAAACACGCGAAATGAAACAGAAAGATGGCAGTGGCACTTGTTCGATTTTAATAAAACTGCAAGGCTAACATAATTTGGCATATTTGCTGACAATTTTGAAAGCGCAAGGGATTTTCATAAGAACATGCCTGAAATGATTAAACTGGTTATCACAACAAAGTTATTAAACGGGCCCACTGTCACATGAAGTCAGGCCTGTCATATATAGAACAATCAAAATGTGATCCGAAAAAGTCAAATACTAATGATTCCAATTTTAATGAACGGCCCAAAATGATTTTTTGCTGGGATGATTACAGATTTTCATTAGATTTTTGTGAGGTGATAAATCACAGGTTATGAGAAAAGAAAAAGTTATTAAAAGGAACCTCACTGACACATCAGTGACTTGAAAAAGCTGATTATTGCCTCTTGATTATGAAGTTAAGAGGAAGCTGACACCAAAACATAAATAACTACTACAAATTAGCACGTCAAAACCGCATGTGAGATCAAATGTAAGCAAACGTTCGGCAAAATTGGTTCTCTGCTATTTGCTTGTTGTTTGATCAAAATTGTAACTTGTTGTTGAGAATATACTCTTCAAAGTTCAAGCGCGATACGAAATCTATAGCTCTTAAAATAGATGAAAACATTCTCGAAGTTTGGAGAAAAAATACACGCACTATCAGGAAGGAAATGTGGTGTTTTGTTTCAAAGATAGGAGCAATTGAAACCGCACTGCGATATCTCTTAGTAGACATTTTTTCTTTTTCACGAAACTCTCAGCTGAGGCGGCAAGAGTCCATGAGTATTGAATTTCCAGACTTTCAACTGCATGGATTTATGACAAAAAGGAAAAGAAATTAAATCAGTCACTGACCTTTTTTTGTCATTGGTAATAAGTGTAGTTTATAATTATCGCACCTTCTAGAAGTGAAAACTTTTTATACGTCAAAACTCTTGTTTATTTATTAAGTTCAACTCTAAAAATTGATTGCAAATTTTGTCCATTCAACAATACATATTTAAAAATTAAACTTGACATGCCCCTGATTCGTGTAGTTTGCTCTTTCTTGAAACGGTGTGAAGTACAAGCAATATGGAACTGCACGCCAACAAATGTTGCCAACATTTCGCTAACCTCCATCTCGATTCATCCCTCGACACGGTTGCAACTAGAAGACAGGCCGCATACGCAATATACGACAAAAAAAAGAAATGGACAGATCATTTGTGATGATGAACTGTCAGATTTAATAAAACTGCAAGCAAACAACATGTTTTTAAGAACGTTGAGTTGCTTAAGACGACGAAGCAACTGAACGCTTTTAGTAATCTTACCTCGCCAGTATCACAGGTTACCAAACCAGAAATGACGTCAACAGCTTAAAAGGACAATTATTACCACTATCAAGGCCTGATTATCAAGTTTGAAAGGAAGACGACACCTCAACACAAAACAATTTCCTTCAATCGCTAAACTGGCTCACCAAAATCTCGAATTTGCATACATCATACAAGCACAAACAAAATAATTTATAAAACGAACGCAAGTCTTAGGCGTCAGCACCGGAGCAGTTTTCGATTTCAGTTTATCGCGTAGGTGAGTATGCACCTTTTTAGAAAACGCCCTTTTTGTTGAAGGTTTTCGTTACAGAACTAATAAGATTTAGGATTGCAGTTCCTTGTGCACATTGTTTCGTTGTTATTGCAATCTGTTTGGTGATTTTGACGCAGCGGGAACTGGCCTTTTGTCTTGACAGTTCAGCGTAATTATACACCTCACAGGGTCCCGGAGACAAAGGCTCCCAGGCAAGCTGAGTAGAGCGTTTTAAAAGACAGCTCTTTCGTATACCAAATACTTTCAATACTAATTACGAAAGAGAAAGGCAACGTGAAGCTGAGCATATGCCGCAAATTATATTTTGAGCTCCGTTCACAGGTGCACAAACGAATCTATTGTAAACAAAAGAGGAAGGAAACGATGACAAAAATGAGAAAATTAATAGCGCGAAATCTTATTAAGGAAGAAAACGTTTTGTGTAGTTAGCAGGGAAGCGTTTTGGTGCAGACTTGATCAGGTAAGTAAGACAAAAGTTGCTGGAAACTTTTAGCAGGTGCGGCTTTGCAATGTTTATTTTACTTGGAAAATTAAAACGAAGATACAGCTTAAACTGCACGTAGAAGCACAGCCAACAAACAAGAATAAGAAAGGGAAGAATAAGGAAACAGTCAATAACAACATAGAAATGGAAACAGCTTTCCGTTAAATACAAATGTTATTGCACAGGTCAAGGGAGCACACTTATCATAAAATGCGGACAGACGCTGTCAAGATAAAAATAAAACGACTGCTGAATAAAAAGGAAGGTTCCGAATCTCACGAAACAACGAGAGGGGCCAAAGAAAGCAAGGAAAAACGTTCAGTTTTAAATCTGTTTTCAGGACTATTCACGCAAGCAGTTCAGAACGAGAAAAAAAAGGCAACCATTTTACCACTGACAGATGTTGCCAAGCTTTTTACACAGGTGAATAACGCAATCACTTCATACTTCATCTTTTAATCAGTTACGAACAAACAGTAACTTTCTTTTTCTTATAGGTTTTGTTTATAATTTCTATCGGTCATTACAAATTTTGTGATCACCATTTGTCGTTTGAACATCTTGTAGAGAAACGTGCTTTACATTTATATCCTGATATAAAATATCTTGTGACATAACGAAAAAACCGTTGTAATAGGAGGAATCTCGCGATATAACGAAACTCAGGTTGCGATAAAACGAACATCGCGCGATAGAAAGAAACTCGCGATATAACGAACTTTTCGCTATAAGGAGCTTCGTGAAGCCGGACCACAAACAAGTTTAACATGACTGTTTTCTTGTTTTGGCACAACTGACGCCAATAGGAAAGGCTGAATCGCTAAAAACATGAGAAAACTAAGGAATATGAATGTAGAAAATACAGTGGTTAAGCCGGATTTAAGTTTCTTCATAGTCGTGCGACTAGAGGACTTTTTTTCTTGAAATAATTGATATACACAAAAAACACAATGGAACTGCACCGCACTAAGCACGTGTATCATACACATTAATGCACTTTTGAAATAATTTTATTGTTCCTGGTGATCAACGATGATTTTTACAGTCATCTCTGTGCAGTTTCCTCGCACGCTTCAAGAAAAACAACAGTAAACACGCACGTATAAACCAAAAACATGGCCTTGAGCAACAGAGGCCGCTGGTGTGTTCATCAAATGTTACATGAAGAATTTCAATTTATTTTGTCTCGAACTTTGATAGTTTGAAAGCTGAATTAAAAGCAGCCCAACAGGCGAAATGGCTAAAAGCCAATATTAAATTACCTTTAAGAGCTAGGAGACAAAAATTAACATTCGTTCCAGAGAAGATGTGACGCGACGCGCTTCCTTTCGTAGAAAGTGCTGACAACACGGAGGAGGAAGACGGGGACGGGAGGGGGGAGAGGGGCAAAAGATTCTGAAAGGAAGATAAGGATAGCGCGCCAAGACACTTGAATTACTGTTTTGTAAACCACGGGAAATCTAGATCTAAATATCATACGCTTACCAAAAATACTGGGCCTTGAGCAATAACTTTTAGAAAGTGTGCTCTGCAAAACCTCGTTCGCCCACCCAACNCCCCCCCCTCCCCGTCCGGTAATCCAGACACTTTCGACATTAACTACGTCAAGTCACCTTCATCGAGGCATTTCCGAAAAAAAAAGCCGAGTAATCAAAAAGTAAAGAAGCTAAAAAAAAAAAAGCAAAAAAAGTTGTCAATGTCTTCCGTGGGATAAAGAATTCCGGGGGTTTCGTGAAAATCCGCCTTCAACGGCTGCGTACAAACCTAGCGATGACCTTTTAAAAATAATTCGTCTTTAGTTTATTGTTGCAGCCCAACCACCATTGATTACTTGTGAAACTTCTTGTCAATTCAGACTAATTCACACGAATGTTAATGACACTTGTCTTTCCTGAAACTTCAACAAGCCTACTTCTTTTGTTAATTACAGTTCCATTTCACAGTTATTTCTAAGCCATTACACAAAAGTAATGAGTTTCGTCCCTCGGGGAGCCGCGAGTGTGAGCGGACGACACCAAAAAAATCAACAGCACTCAGCGAAGTGTTTACGGAAGACTAGATTAAAGTGCGCAACGTCATACATAGAAATGAATACAAGATTTACCCATAACAGCATTTCAGGAAAACACATCTACCTACGCTTATCACAAAGGTACAGCTCGTTTTAATTCGACCGGTCGTCAGTTTTGGATAACTAACGAATGAAAAAAAACTTTATGTGACAAAACTGCAATTTAATCTAGGGACATAACTTCATTTTTTACGCTGGTGACTTCAGTCAACGCTTGTGGCTGTCATTCGACGCTGTCAGAATTTTGCCGATAATATCTTCATGAAGTTTATAGTTGAAGATTAATGATTACCTGACGGTGAACGGCTGGCCATCTAGTTCTATTTTACGGTTTTGGTGACGATTTATTTGCGTGTTTGTGGAATACTATCCGATTCTAACATTAGAGTCGCTCAAGAAGCCAAAGTGGGTTTGTATTCACCTAAAATTTCGGCACCTTTAATTTTCAGAGAACAGTGGATCGTAAACAGGTAGGCGAGATGAACTGGAAATATGACAATATTTCGATAATTATATACATGTACATCGCAAAACCTTTTAACAAATGATGATCAAATGAACTCCGTTCACAAACGTGCCCATCGATGTCTCAATTGCGCTTCCCAGGAAATGAATGTACGACTAGGTTGGTAAATGACTAAACAATATTCTAGCCGCAAGGAAGAAAGGTAAAAATTAATTACGACCTCCAAAAGCCTTAATCTTGCTTAAGGATTCAATTTAAGGAAGGCAGAGAGAGCCGGTCTGAGTAGGTAAAAAAAACATAACACTATATAATAGAATCACAACTTGAAAGGATGACGAAGGCGGTATTAATTTGAGCCATCTGTTGTAAGAGAAAGCCAAAATGCAAATGCATGTATTCACATTATGGCTTTACTATATGAAACACACGAATCCAATTACGAGGTTAATGCGAAATCTCAAACAACTAGAATCTCGCAAAATTCAAAATGAATCGAGTTAATGAGAGGAAGTTTACCATCAAAATGATGATTGTTTTCTAGATTTGCAGTTTTCCGAAAGTGCACAGAAAACAAATAAAGATGCTAGAAAATCGCTCACTGAAAATCAAATGTTTGAAAATAAAATAAAAAACAATACCACTTTAATTCACTATCCATAAAGATCGCAAATTTGTCATAATAAATGGAGCTGTCAGGACAAAAATAGCCCCCAGGATATGTCAAAAAGACAAGTGTCTCTCCTCGGCCTATTCTGTGTCATATCAGTTACAGGCAACAAGCAGTCTCACTGACTAGCCGCAATTTGAGCCTTTCTACTCGGAGATAGAGTATTAACACTTGTGTTAGCTAGGTTAACACACGCAAAATAGCAAAGAACGGAAGCACTAACATATTGCGCGTTGTGTTCGCCACCAGACATCTTTGCGTTGCTTTTAGCGAGGTAGGTACCTAAAGCCGAGCTCAACCTTTTTGGAATTTTTTGAACAGTTTTAATTTTTGGGAAACTTTTTTTACAGCGGATGCCCTACGTCGCTCGTCAGGGGAAAGACGCCCGCAGGAGAACAATCTCGCTCAAAACCTCGACGAAATCTTCACACGACTGTATGTAATTGAAAAAACACTCGTATTCAGCTAAATGGAGCAGTGCTGATATCGCTGCGAGAAGTTCCGCACGAGCAGTTGGCTGTCAAGTCATCGCTCTCGGCACTATTAACCATGGAAAACACAACACAAGCCACGGGGGAAGATGACAATTACCTCAACAACAATACGGACGACGAGGGCTTTTCTGGCAGCGGTGGATTTTCAGGAGAAGAAGACCTCGGTTTTAGCGCAGAATTCGACACATACCCTATCGTTCTGGCAATTTTTATCATCGCCGTCAACTTGACCGTCATAATCCTCTTCATTCGCAACCGCTCCCTCAGAACTGTCACTAATTCCTTCCTTGTAAGCCTTGCCGCCAGTGACCTCCTCGCAGGTTTGGTTGGAATTCCTGTGCAAATCTGGTGCTCAGCTATCAAAGACAACACGATCTGCCCCATTTCACTTTTAATATGGCAGTTTATCTCTGTATCTACAGTGCTACATATTTTGCTTGTGTCCGTCGACCGCTACATCGCAATAACCCACGCTATGCGATACCACAACATCGTCACAAGGAAAGTTTTCTTCGCCCTAACAACCCTCGCGTGGAGCGCAGCCGCGTTCGTACCTCTTATTCAACTATCTTGGCGCGCAAACGTTAACATGAACGAAGACGAGGAAGAACACGCGTATAAAGCTCAGATGATATTCGACCTGAGCGTTTTTGCACTATTTTTCGCAGTGCCACTTTTTGTGATGGCCTTCATCTATGCTCGCATTTTCACCACAGTAAGGTACCACGAGAAACAAATTTGGCGATATCATAGCCCTTCGGACCCTGCACAGTCACCGAACGGAAAATCCAACTCGCGAAACAGTCAGAACAGTGCGCAACAAAAAACCGCCGCAATCTTCCTGGCGATGTTAATCGTGTTTATTATTTGCTGGCTTCCTTATTTCATCTTGAGCTTTCAAGAACGGCTAAGCCACGAAGATTTTTTTCCGCCGGTTTGGGTGCAATATGTATTTTACTACTATGCCAGATTTTTCACCTCGTTGGCTAATCCATTGCTGTTCGTTCTTGGAAAGAGAGACTTCAGAGAAGCGCTTCTTTGCGTGTTTTGTAAGAAAGACAAAGTAAGAAGCGAGAGCCGGGCGAGTACAACGCTCACTGCGTTCTTCAGCGTGGAACAAAGTGCTCTCGGTGACTCGACAAAAGCAATCGCTTAACCCTTATAATGAAACGATAGTACTGCGAAAGAACGCTACGAGTGGCTGTTTCATGGCTTGAATTAAGAGCACTGACCACTGAATTATAAACAATTTAAAGTGGTTTCACCAGGACGGAACTAATCATTTGACTTTTGGCGCAAAGGGGCTTGGTCGGGCTATTTTTAGAGTTCCCTGCTTTCTCTCTTTAGTTTAAATTATCGATTCATTCACTCAACGATGAAATCTCTGTTCTATTATAAACCGAAGCTAGCGAATTCCACGCCTGTGGAATAGATTTAGGGCGCCATTTACAAGCAAATGAACACAAGCTGGATTTGTCAAGGGCTTAACAGGGTCGCAGGCTTATTTTAGCAGGTTTCTAGGTCAGCCTAATTTATATGCCACCTGAAAGAAAAAAGCTTGCCGCTATTTGCAAAGAACTATATTTTAGATCTCACAAAATACTTTCATTAGCTGTGTAAAGACTTAAAAACCTTTCTTTATCATGAAAAACGGCAACTTAAATTGGCAGAATTCCTTGTTTGCTGAGGAAGGCACTTAAAATAACGCTTAGTTTGGAACGTCCGAGAAAATGGGATAAATCCTTTACCTAATTTGCACATGCGATTCAACACAGTTACGAAGGAAACTAGAGAAATACCACACAGTATTTAAAACCAAATCTAAGTAAGCGCGTTAGCCTTGTTTTAAAAGGAAATTTAATTATGTTCCCACATAACAAATACGGCCAGAATATGTCGGAAGGATAATCCAGTCAAATATAAATGTGCCTTGTAGAATTTAAATGGTATTCCTTTTGCGGAAGTATGGAAACAAAATCGCATCAATAAATTTTCACGGTAAGGCCGATATATATTACACGTAAACATAAAAAACATATGGATATAAATTACACGGAATTTACAAGAATAACTATGATTTGGCAAACGAAGCTTCTACAACAAGCTGATAGAGGAAGGATTTTAAGCCGTATATTTTAAAGACTTTAAAGTATTATAGCACATGTACAAGAATATAAAGAACATATTGCTAGAACAGAAAACTTGTCCAATTTTCCTTGCACCCCGGGCGAGTGGAAGCAGATAAGTGCTGTTATTACAGTTATCGAGGGAACGTTTTAAAACACAGCAGAATAAAAGCCTGCGGAAAATCAGCCGTGGAATTTACAGATAACATAAGTAATTACGCTCACATGGCCATTTTGTATCGAATTAAAATTCCCAGCATACGCGGCATGAAAATAAATGATCAGTGACATCAGCGTAATTGTCGGAAAAAAGCCGCAGAAAAGAAAGCCATTACTTCCATCACTTTTACTTTTTCCCTTCGGCGGAAATTTAAGACTGCGAACATAAAAGAGATTACAATCGCCTAACGCGAAATAATAAACGTAATGCTCTTTTAAGCGCGAAACCAAAGATGATTGTCTATAAAAAGAGATAATTATCTTCCGATTCTTTATATTTATCTCCAATGGATACCGCTTGGCGCTTGCCTTGAGCTTTATAAATAAAGACATAATTTTGTTTAAATCATAGATGAGCGGTGAACCTACAAAAGGAGTGGTAAGTCCATAAGACTTACGCATTACTTCCCAGTGTAACAAAAACTGAAACGTAAAATAAAACTTGAAAGGAAGGAACGGTTGTGACCTCATGCTGTTTGAACTCGACTGACCTGTACGCGCGTTTAATATAATCACAAACTGCGATCGTTACGCGCTATAAACAAGTTACTGCTGCAAACTACCACACGTAATCGTAATTACTAACAGACTGTACCGGGCTGTGTTTTATACTTACTTCAGTTTGTCTGCTGGGATGTCTGTGTTGGGGAAAGGAGCATCTTTAAAGAACACAAAATCCCATACTTCTCGGGTCATTTGTTCTGCCCTAAAAAAATAATAATTCAAAAAAAAAAGAAAAAATAAACAAATGAATAATTACATAAATACATAGTTACATAAATAAATAAATAAATAAATAAATAAATAATTAAATAAATAGATAAATTAACACCATCGAGTACAAGATAACGTGTTTTGAAAGATGGTTTTTGCTGTTTCGTTTAACTTTGTATTTGTTTTATTTGTCTTTTTCATTTCTTTAATAACACTGATCACGAAATATTAAGGGGTTGCTATAAAACCACTTACTTGAAAACCGAAGAACCATAAGGCGAGAAACAAGTAAAAAAGTGTTTTCGATAGGAGGCCAAAGATAATCCACTTTCACTTTTAGAGTCACATTCAAGCAATTTATGTAGCTCAAACTTTTACAAACCTTATATGTAAATACCTAAATAAAAACTTTTTAGCAGTATTTTCATGCGGCACTGTTAATTATCCTTAATTTTAAGTCTGTGGGTGAGACCATAGAGTGTGAACATTCAAATGAAAGCTTTTTTTTAAGCAGTATTGTAATTATATGCTTCACAAGGTGGTTCTAGCTTTAAGTCTGTGATGAAACCATGGAGTGTGACCATTCAAATGAAAGCTTTTTAGGAGTATTTTCGTGTGGTACTATTAATTATGTTTTATAAGTCAGTTCTAACTTAAAGTCTCTGGATGACGCCATAGTGAGTGACCATTCAAATGAAAGCTTTTTCGCAGTATTTTCATGTGGAATTGTTTATTATGCTTTCAGTCTAGATCTCTGGATAAGCCTACAATGTGCAACCATTGAAAAGAAAGCCATTAAGCGGTACTTCCATATGGTACTGTGTATTATGCTGAAAAAGGTGTTTTAATGTCTACGTTTGCGATAAAGCCAGACGTCCACAACGAAAGAGAAGACTTTTAAAAAAATCCTAGTGTGTGACCCATTAAATGAAAGCTATTGAGCAGTCCTTTCATATGGTACTGTTCATTATGCTGTACAAGATGGGTAAACGCTTACATTTGCGTTAAAACCAGAAGTCCACAACGAAAGAAAAGATTTTTAAGAACATCCATGCGTGAGCAATTAAATGAAAGCTTTTAAACAGTTCTTCCAAATGCTAACTGCCTGTTTATTTATTCAGTGTTTTGCACAATAAATTTATCTGTATTTTCAGCCCTAAACTTAGGAACCCTTAAAAGCAAAAATGTAAACGCGGCCGACAACAGGACGAAACAAAATCAGCATTAAATGAATACAACACAGTTGGTGTATTTGCTTGTCGTTTCGGCACCAAGTTAAAACATGATTAACAATTTTTCAATGGGAATGAAAGCACTGTACGATTTCATCTGTAGCATTAGACACATTTACGAAATTCCTTTCACAGTTATCTACCTATTCTTTGTTAATATTTAGATCACCGCGGTCCAAAAAAAACATATTGAAGACCATAAGCGTTTTTTAACCCCTAGTTTTAGACACCGATTGTTCCTTACTGATTGTACAACATAAATTGCACATCACTCAAGAAAATGTCCGCTTTACCAATGTATTGACATGGCAACAAGATATTAGCTTATGTATCACTTGGGTCTTGTGGGATTAATGATATCCAGTGACTTGTACCGGATCTGCTCTCTTATCGTTAAGACACAAATTGTGCAACACCAGATGTTTTATGGAAATTTCGTTTCTTGTGAAGTGGACAGACTTTCAAATAAACAATCATTACAGATAAGGCGGGGAAACACAACAAGCTTAAACGAAATTCAAGTACGAGAAGTCTCTATCTCAGTTTCCTGAGGGTAGCTGTTACGCAAGGAGAAAAAAGTTTCTTTTTTTCTTTACACCGTTTGACTTGCATAACAAACAAATTTCCGCTGGTGAGTAAGATCTGAGGAAAAGATGGGAAGCGTGCACGCAATTTACCAGAAATAAAAGCGTACAGAGTCAAAAACACAACCGTTTTTCACGAACACGTTATTATTAAATCGATCGTCTTTGCGTTTGAGCTAATCGAAATTCGACTAAACCATTAATCCTACAAAACAGATCTGTTTACGCCCTCCAGCCATTTAGTACCATCATTCGGCTTGTGCAAGCTGTTAAGACAGGATACACTACTTTATGCTGATGATAAAAGGGCCAATCCAACTCAGCATGTTTCTCCTAAACTGCGTGTTGACCCGCTGTTTTTACATTAACAGCTATGACAAAAATTGAAACGTGATATTTAGGAGTTTCCCAAAGTGAAAAGCAATGCTATTCAAGACAACGCTTGCTTTACCACTCGAAAACCGTCTAGTGGCCGGTTGTGACTGCCATGTTCGTTGTAGCAAACTTGCACACCAGCAAGTAAGCAGTACCTTATTCCCAGGGGCCCGCCGGCGGAGCCGTCAAAGGATCCTTCCTGTAGCAGGTGGGCTACTGTGTAGTAGGCGTTGTAGATGGTGGAATCGGAAAGGGACTCAATTAAATATTGTTCATCCCAAGGAAGGCGAGTTCCTGTCGAAGTAACAGTACAAAAGAAATAAAATTACGTTATCTACTAATCTGCGCGAAAGACGACCATTTTGCAAGGTTTTTAGTAGAACGCGAAGCCAGCACGAGACCCGCGTGGACAACTCACCGCCCACGCAGATTTGGCGATTGACGCGCGCTCGCAACATGCTCCATGAAGAGCTTGCAAACGGCTGTCATCGCATGATATGGATTATATTAGACTTGAGTACTTTAATCCAGAGAATATTCTGGCACGTTGATATCCTAGATGCATTGTAAAATCTGGGACAAATTCAGCATATTTCGGACGCTTTGTTTGAAATCGCAGAATCAGTAATTGTTCTTGAACTCTTGCGACAAAGGTGATATGACATGGATTAACAATATCTGATATGGCCCTATATTCAGAGTCGAGCGTTTCATTTAGGGTGGAGAAGTTTGAAACATTGTTCATTGATTGTTGATAAGTGAAAAAGCCCATTAAAACGCATTGAACATCCCCATAAATTTTGTGGAAACTTATTTGCAAATGTTTCATTTGCGTGTGTGTAATTAATATCTGATATTAGCGGCACTACTTGTTGTCTGAGAGATATTTAGAAATGATAACTGTGGCACTCTTAGCCGGCAAGTTTTGTCTTTCAATTTCTCAGTCTAGAAAGTATGCAAATGCACTAAGTGACCATATAAGTGTGCATTATACTTAAAATGGTACTAGAGTTGACAGTATTTGGCTGAAATTTCACTTCCGAGAAGATCCGTGGCTAAATTAGATTTTTTTTCTGCAGCTTTAATATCGGCGACATCAAGCAACACCTGCCCCAAACACGTTTTTCAGATTTATTATCACTTGCTTAAGCTCAGGCCAAACCAGACAGCACTTCTTGACAAAACCCTCGTGCTGTCTGCACTTGAAGATAATGAAAGACGAAAAAGCTGCATTCACTCAAAAAACAAAAAAAACAAAAAAACCAATAATAGCGGGGTCAAAATACACCACACCTTAGGAATACTTTCAACAATTATTCTACAAGTGCGCGTTGGATATGGATAGCAGATAGCCATAGATTTGGAAAGGCAGAAAGACCTGAGGTTTTCGGGAAATGGACAAAAGACCTATATGCTAATAAATTCTAGAAGTTTCCCTAGAATAGCCGAATAGAAAAAAATTCTATAGCACAGCCTAAAATTAGTCTCTAGAGCTTTAAAATTACACCAGATGGCTTAATTAAAGCATATGAGAGCAAACTGTCGTTGGTTGTCCCTGTCTCTCTAGGGAAGCTTAATGTTTCCTATTTATAACTTAAAGGAAAATTCTTTCTTTCATCTCATTACAAAAAAAATCCCGACGCTGTGCTCCAAGATATTTTCACCTTGGTATGTCTTTCATCTTTCAACAGTAAGTACATTGTCAAAAGCCTGACTGCGAAGAATAGTGACTTTCCCAGCCTGAGATCACACAAATATAGTTCTCGGATCTGACCAATCACAGCAAACGTTAACATTGAACGAAATGAACCAATCAGAGCTGGAAGCAGCATTATGGGAACGCTGCCGAGCGCGGAAAAACACGCGCATTCCAAGTCACGGTCGGAGTCCCGGGCCGGGTTGTTCAGAAGCCGGTTAACGCTAACCCCAGATTAAAAGTTAACCGAAGTATCACTTTTTCTGGTATAAAAGCGTTTTAAGTTCTTGTGCTTTGTGTTGTTTGAGATTCCTCACGTTTAAAACTGAAGGAAAAACGATGTAAACAAATAACCTCACCGAAAAGTCACAAAACTTGCAAAGACTTGCAAAAAAGACTCCTTTGGTAAAATCTGCGCATATCACAAGACCAAGCCGTAGTATCAACACAGAAGCCTTCATTACAGTTGATAATTCCTAATTAGTCATCAGAAACTCACCAAGACCATAAGACCTCGAACACGCATGCTCCTGAATCCAGTCTAATGTGGCCTCAAAGTTCCGCCTGGTTTCCTCAGCATATCTTAAAAATAAAATCACGCCAGGTATTTGAGTGACGCTAGATCCTACATCTTTACAATCACACATTTTCCATTGTGGTAACAAGAAAAACTTCACAAAAATCTTAAACAGAAGTTTAGACATTATTGCCAGCTTCTCTACTTTTAGCCTGATTCTGTTACTTATTTCGTTATTGAGACACTTCCATAAACCAACTGTAACACTGATGGTAACGCAACGCTGTTACAACAGTCACGTAATTTAGCTCCTAACGTCAACTCACGTCCCTTCACAGCTCAGAAGGATCCATTGGTTAAACGTCTCAGAAGACAACTTGAGCAGCCTTCAGTTCAAATTAAAACCATCATCATTGCTGTGAATTTTCAAGCATGTCCATTGATTTCATAGCCGGCAAAGTAAACCTTCCATACTTCGCCGGAGAAATTTGAAAACGAAAGTTCCACTCTGAAAACGCATCGAATGTTTTCCGTCCACAGTACGCCGGAGGTATTTACACTGTTTAAAAACACAACAATCGCCGGTCATTTTGGATTTGTGTTTTCAAATTCCTCTGGTTGGAAGAACGTTTTCGAAAAGCTCCGTTTTGGTGACGAATTATTGTGGGCGGTAGACCTAACCGTAGAAATAAAGCTGCGTTTCCAAATTTCTCCGGCGTCGTGCGAACGCTGCCCAACTGCTAAATTAATTGAGTATAGCAGTCTTTTTGAGCCAATCAGAGAGAAACGAACCGCACGTGCAATCTAGTGGTGTCTCCTCACAGAGTGTCCTGGCTTGTCATTGGCCAAGAAATGAGAAACCGACAAAAACATATCATGTTCAAGTTATTACTCACGTGTTGAGATCTTTCAGAGATTCCCGCGCTTCATTTTTCCACGACTCTTCGCCGTAATCCAGAAACCTACCAGCAAGAGGCAGCGATGTAAATCTCCCTTCGTCAACCATCACAAAACAGCTATCATCAAAAGACAATCTTCGTATTCTCGGCATTGGACTGGAACTAGCTTGCAATGGAGGCTCATGCGGAAAGGGGGGATATCATTTAAAAGGGATTGATAAGTCAAATCGGAGTTTCAAGAATTAGTGCATTGGAAATCTAATTCTTAAAACTGCGATTTGGCTCATTTAATTTGTATTGTGAAAAGGGATTTATAAGTCAAAACGGAGTTTCAAAAAGTAGTGCAATGTACATCTAATTCTTGAAACTGCGATTTGGCTTATTTCATTTGTATTTAAAAAGACACCGCATATTAGCCTCACTTGCAAGCTAGTTCCAATCCAATACCGAGAATACGAAATACGCATGGTACCATGCACTGAATTACAGAACAATCACAGTTTGAAGCTCTTACCACTGATCACATAAAGCAACGACGCACTCATCCGCAGAACGCGAAATAACCTTTCTCTCTGGCTCCATGTAAATTCGTGCTTCGCCCTAAACACAACAGGAGACCCACAGAAACGCAATTATTACCTAACCATTGTCGGACGAGCGGAGTGTTGTGGACAGCAATTCAAAAACTCCAAAATAAACTTACACAGTCCGTCATCTTCTTTTGCACAAGTTTCTTCACATCCTGAACTTTCTGGCCCGCAAATTCTCCGATAATCAGGGTTCCTTCGTAGAAGCCCTTTTTGTAGGTGAGTTCTTTAGCTTCCACTAGAAGGTCCTTGTCGTTTTGGCTCTTTATCTTGAGGTCATCACAGGCCTTTACGGCGCAGAGGTCCCCATAGCCAGGAACCCGGATGATGGGTATTGGTTCATAAGGAAGAACCATCTCGTCCGTGATACCATACTTCTGTCTGAAAGCCTTGTGGTCAAAAAATGATAGTAAATTTTCTGTTAAGGTAATACTATACGAACACAAAATTACTGCAACATTNAACATGCCACAAACAGAAAAATAATGGGTGAATGGAACACGGGCACCAGTACTGAGAACTTAAACACATTTCAGTGTTGTGATAGTCTGTATGAAAACGAGTCATTTATACGATACAGGACGCTGGAAACACATTCTCTGGTGTAATAACTTTTTAGCATCCAACACAAGCGTTTTAGTTCTCAACGTCTTTTAACATGCATGCACATTCAACAATAAACCACTGACCCCTTTGTTCTTCACATCTCTGAGAGCCGCATAATCATCCGGGGCATCTGAAGGAACTGACGTCACGATACCGGTACCTGACAAAAATATCTTCACATTAAACTGTTTTCCTAATTAGTTTTAATCTAAGCAAATACATGTACCTCTTATTAAAGTTAAGTGCCGGTTTGACGCGAACAGTCCTAGTTCCTTCTACTATGCAGCTTTATTCACAAACCGCGCTAACCAAGAGATTACACGTCACAGTTCTTCACAGCTCAGAAGGATCCATTGGTTAAACGTCTCATAGGACAACTAAGGTCCTCCCTTAACTGATTAAAATGTTCATCATTGCTGTGAATTTTTAAGCATTGTTACCATATTTTAGCTAGACTGTTCACAACTCCTCTATTATTATTCAATGCACGCGAAAGAAAAAGCGAGCAAAGCGAGCGCGGGCGCGAAGCACGAGGGGTAGGGGCGGAGAGGCGAGCAAAATACGCAGGGGTGGGGGAGGCGAGGCAAGCAAAGCGAGCCAAACAAAGAATTTTTCTCGGTCCCCACCCTATACCCTGTCAAGTCTCCCGTTTTGCGCTGGCGCTCTGTTCTCTCGCGATTCTATCTGCGTTCAATGATCGATTAAAAATACGGGAAAATAGAGGGCTGTGAACAGCCTATATTTAAGCAAAAAAAAAAAAACGCTATTACTCAGTTACCCAATAAATTTTTAAATCACGTGTCGGCAACTTTGTAAGCCAATCAGAAAACAAAACAGTGACGACGCAAGCATTCTCCGAGTACTCTTGAGCAACTGCTCTACTTCTTTTAATCGAATCGCAGACGCGTTAAGGGGCTTCAGCGAGGATTTGACAAAAAAAAAAAAACGGCATTTGTTCCCGACCATCACAGCTTCCCGATTTTTGTCTTTTCCCTGTTTCCAATTTTTCTTGCGAGTTAAATCCATTTCATTCGGAAGGTAAGTTGCTCTCTCACCTTTGTCTTCTTTGATGGTCAACATGGGAAGTGTGTAGACTACAGAGTGCTTTGTAAGCGGAGCGTCTAGAGGAATCCCCATGATATCCTACAAACAAAACCAAATTCATTTAAGATAAAAAAAAGATCCAAAAGAATAGCAACTGGAAATAACATGATTGTATTTCAATTCCTACAGACCTGTCCTGTCAGCTCCAAGACAACATTGACAACTCCTTCCTTAGGGGTGAACCCTTGGTAGGACATGTTCCTGGCTGCTCGTCGTGTGCTGATGTAAATCTCATTCTCAATGTTTGTCTCAAAGGCAATGTACTGCAAACATAACAACAGTAAGATAGTATTATTCAGAATTATTAAAGGCAAGGAAATACTGGTGCAAACTTGCACGCAGTGATCAATTGATTAGAATCTCGTTGTTTGCCTACTTCTGCGAAATTGCGCACAATAATTAATTTTTTAATGTATGTCCATTCTTGGCAATGACGTGACAACGAAGTCAAATTTCTTATTCCAACACGGCTATATTCTTTCTTCTTTTTGCCTTTTCTTAACTGAAAGCAAAAACACTAACTAGTTGTGGATTATTTTTCCTAGCTTCTTATCCAGGCTATCGTTGCCACTTTGGTTGTTGCGTGTGGCCACTAGCCTCCCTTAAAGCTGGTCACGCAATCTTTTCTTTTTCCACCAATGACCTTCATTGGGAGGAGTGCGCAATGAGCCATGAGCTACACTGGCTGAAAACTGCTGCAAGCAATGTTGCTTTTGCAAGCTGGCAGATGCCATCACTGTGACGTCACTATAACAACATATGGTTCATTTACCACCTCATTTACACTACAGACAAATAGACTACATGCACGACCAGCTGGGTTTTGTTCCTGAAATCCTCCATGTGATTGGAGAAGTTAAAATCAAGCAAAAAGAGGATATGAACCTAACTAAATGAAAGAATCAATGCTTCAGATAGACAGACAGACAGAGAGACATACAGAATGACAAACTGACTGACTGTCTGACTGACTGACTGACTGACTGACTGACTGACTGACTGACTGACTGAATGACTGATGGAAAGACAGAAGGATGGATTGACAGAGGGATGGGCAGCAGATGGACTGAATTTGCGTCACACGCCAGAAAAGAGGGACACTGCTTGCAGTGTACCATAAAGAAAATTGTGAAACTATTTTGGCAGTGAAACTATCATCGTGGTGGTGTTTTGTTATTTTACCTTGATGTCCGGCTGAACCCAGCAGTTTGTCTGTCCATACATTGTTTCTGGTCTCAGTGTTGCAGCCATCAAGAACACATTCTTTCCTGTCAAAGCACTAAATGGCAGACAAGAGAGAGAAAATAGGGATTACGAAATTATTCATTCAAATATCTGAACACTAATAAACAAATCGTTTCAGCCAGCCAGTCTGTCAGTTCTTCCATCTGTCAGTCAGTCAGTCAAAAAGGTGCCTGCTTTTCAAAATATAAATGTGAGTTGAATATTTGTGCACACTTACCTTAATTTCCCTTTGAATGGTTCGCAAACCTTCATTTTGATTCCCGTGTATTCTTGTGGTGCCACTCCCTAATGAAAAAAGTGGAAATAACAACCATCGAAAACAGCGCTCAGTTACGACACGAAACCATTATAATCAAGATACGGCTTTGATTTCTATGCCTGGAAGCAATCCACATCCAATTTCCCTTACAGGTGATTGCTTACGGCTTATGTATCTATTAAAAAAAAATTGCTGCCTATCTATAAAAACTTTCTAATGATTGATCTCATCTAATATGACCTCAAAATGTCCATTCAAAAGGGAAACATATGGGGAAAATATAAACATAATCAAACTCTCCTAACTATTAGGACAAGAAAATTGCATGGAAAATTTGTTTATGGACCTCACAGCTGACAGCCTACCTCTCCTGTCTGTCGGTCGTGATCCATGCAGGGCTGCCCATCCTTGGGAGAGAATATTGTGTACCTGATGAAAGACAGACATTGATGAATTCAGCATATTTTGGCTGTTATCAAGTAAGCAGAAAGCTGTAAATTCTGACTCCTTTCTCTGACCAAGTAACCTGACTAACATTTCTTAATTTAAATACTAGCATCAAAATACATTCCGAGTTTAAAAAACAAACAAACAAACAAAAAAACCAGAAAGGAAAGAGAGATTGAATACAATGTACCTTTTGCCAAACTTCACTTTCCCACCGTCTTTCAGAGTCCAGAAGTGCCATCTTACAAATGAATCATAATAAGGATTGACATGCGTGGTGATAAATGTCCGTCTCCAGTCAACCTAAAAAATTGAGATCATGATTTTTACTTGGAACTTTAATTCTTGGAACTAACTTGTACATATCTCTACCAAAAAATACTGGGGTGGATCTAGGGCGATTTGGTCAAGCCCCCTAAATTAAAAATAATGAAACATTATAACATGCTGACTTGGCCTCAGAATGCTAAAAATTTTCCAGGGGAAAGATGCCCCCAGCCCCCCCTACAGGAAACTGCCTTCAGCAGTCCATATCACGAACCCCCTTTTTTCAAATCCTGTATCCACCCCAGAAATGTACAAGTTTGTTATTGGTATAATTTTTAAGTATAAGCTGTCTTATTATACGGCTGGCTCCGTGAGCGGGCAAGATGAATCAAATCCTGCCCTGTGATTTGCTACCCGAGCAGGCAAGATGGAGCTATCTTGCCCGCTTGCGACTACCCACCATGTCGTGCAAGAAAAATTTCCCTGAAAGCCATATAATAAATCCTTTATTGACCAAGCTTGTTCGGTCAAAATGGCAGGATATTGGCCTCATTCTTTTTTCGCGAGTTTATGGACCTCGACTCCGTCTCGGTCCATAAAATCGCAAAAAAGAACTTGACCAATATCCGGACATCTTGACCTCACACTTGGTCAATAACCCATATGTGTTCACTGACAGTCAGACATAGTGTTCAAAATCGTAAAAATCCATGATGTACCTTCAGTCCCATATTTTGAAGGTCAGATTTTGCCAAAGGTGGAAAATACTGCAGCCAGTGATCAGCATCAGCAAACCTAAAACATTCAAGATCTTTTTTATTACTTTGTTATTACTTATTTAATTTTATCTCTTTTATTTTAGTCATGTGTTTTATACCTGAGCCTCTCACTTGGATACTGAGGGCAACCTCAATCCCACACAATGACTTTAATAAATTGATTGATTGATTGATTGATTGATTGATTGATTGAAGATTGGGATCAAAATTTTCCTAATAGTTGCTCTAATGTTTCCATATTAAAAAAAATAACCTTAGGAGGAGAATTTGAACTTTTGGGGGATTTAATCCCATAGAAAAATGGAAAATTTACAGCAGACTTGAAACAGTGATTGAATTACTGATAGTTGAGCACCTGACATAAACTTACTGTTTGATTTCTTCATCACTCATTCCAAGTGACTGCATAATCTGCCACTGATACTCCAAACCACCAGTCTTTGCAGCAATTTTACTTTTCAACTGTATGAATAAACCAAAATGGCAGCCTTGTGAATAATCAAGTTTCAAATTCAATTTAAGTATCTTATACAAAATATGATTACTCTGTGAATCTGATTCTTTCAACTCTTTGTAAGTTACTTTTCAATTGACAGTGTTTACAAACTACAAGGGCTTTGAAAATAAAGCCAGTTGATTACCGAGAATACTGCTAATTAAAATGCAATTATAATTTCCTTACCTGTTTAGCTTCTTCTCTTTCACTATTTTCAGGAAACTTTGGTGGAAATCCAAAGTCATCGATTTCGCGTTTCAACTTATCTGCACAAGCCTGAAAAAAAAAATTATACCGGTACACTGTTAGCTCAATCTAGCATTCATTTGATGTTAATTTTATTAACCACCCCCCAAAATATTTTGACTTCTAATTCAATTCAGGACTACTTCAAACCAGATAGTAGCCTGAAATGTTACTGCGTCATCTCAGGAGTAACCTCAGCCTAAAGAATAAAGAATACTGTGGCCATAAAAACAAGGTGGCTGTATAAACAGGGTGGCCAAAAGGTGGGGTTCTACTGTAATGACATTATTTAAGTTCAGTCAAGTTAAGTGAAGGCGTTAGACACATTCTCATTATCTTTAATTACTGCTAGTGAGTATTATTAATTAATTGCATTTCATAATATAATTATATCACCTTGATTGGCATGCCTGTGCAGTGGAGTCCAAATGGAAACAGACACCTTTTTCCTTTCAGTCTTTCATATCCAATGGCAAACTAGATGATTCCAAAAAAATGCAATTTGGCCAATAAAAAAACATGTAAATAAAATTCAGGATAAGCTACCGAAACTAAACAAGCTGTCAGCTTGGAGCTTCACAACACCTACCTCAGCCTTGAGGAAGAATCAATGATCGAATGAAGAGCAATGGCAACAAAGAGAAAGAAAAATTGTTAGAAATATTTAATTCATTATTTGGTAAATATATTTCCAGTAATAATTAAATTCAAAGTTATATAATTATCCTCTTCTTTGACAGACTGAAATTTAATCTTCTTTGTTTAATTTTCTTAATATGTAAAATATTAATTCATTTATGACATTTTAGCTCATTTTTCTGAGTTCCCTCTAAGTACAGCCAAATAATTTTATTTGTGCACTAGACCTATAAGTAATTTATCAAAATTAGGAAGAGTAAACTAATTTCAAAACAAATTTGCATCACCAACCTGGGCCAAAAATACAATGCAGTAAGTGATCCATCTTTTTTCACATACCTTTGAAATGGTAAAGGTGTGTCCAAGATGAAGTCTTCCATTCATATAAGGATATGGAAATGTGCAAAAGAACTTTTCTTTCCTGTAACAGTAACATAATATACAGATTTAGGCCAACCTAAAAGCATAGCTCCAGGTGGGCTGGGTTGTTCAGAGCCCAGTTAAGCTAACCCAGGAAAAGATAGAATTTTGAATTGAGTTTTGTAACTTTGCGGTGAGGTTTTCTCTATATTGCATTGTTTGGCCTTCCTTTTTGAGTTTTAATCACCATATACACAAAACAAAGCAGCAAAAAACATTTGTATAGAAGAAAAAGTTATAATTCGGTTAACTTTTAATCCTGGGTTAACGTTCACCGGCTTCTGAACAATCCTGCCCTGTTTTCAACAAGTTAACCTGACCTGAGCCCACGATCCAATCAAAAACCTGCACTTGGTCAGTGGTCAACTTCAAAAAAACATGTGTCCTTGATGAGCTTTAAACTTGAGCCCGTGATATGGTCACGTGATACTGGTCACGATCAATGGATACCTTGTTTTGACAGGTGTCAATTGATCATAACATGGATGTCCAAAATCAAAGAAGTACATGGTAAACCAAGGCTGCATGTCTCTGTTAACCTACATGTATTATTTGGAGTATGGCTGCCATGTTGTGCGACTCTGTCGTCGCCACCGTCATCGTGCGTACATACCCACGAGCAATACCGCTAACCATGATAACCATGAGAAAATCAACTCATGGGTTTCCTTTTCTTTCCTATATGAGTATGGGGCTCCGCTTGGCAGCTGCTCCGCTATAATTATAAATAAGTATGTTTCATTTGCCAGCACATCTGAGATCCCTATTCAACCTAATGCTACAAAGGAGTGGGCAGGAGACTGATTAAGAGGCTCCAAGAGCTACATATATATTGAAACACCACAATTTAACAGCTTTATATCATTTTGAGAGGTTATTTTAAGTGCGCTGCATGTGTTTCAAAGAAATGATCTCTTATTCTTCTGGATCATTCACCTTGAGGAATGGAAGTCACAATAAGGCAAGCTTCTTTTAATGGCAGTGAGCCAAAGTTGTTTCCTTGCATTATTACATGTATTGTCAATGATGTTTGTATCTCCTCTCCCACTGAGAGTGCCCAAAATATTAAATTATTGATTCAGTCACAAATGATAGTTATTATCTTAAAATCAAATTATTGCTTTCAGTACTTACTTAGCATCTGGTGATCCAGGCTGTTGAGAAAATATAGCCATTAGCTATATTTATCAATCAAATTAACACATTCAAGTCTGTAATGCAAAAAGTAGCAACAAGATACTTGGCCTAGCCATGTACATGTATGTTAAAGCAAAATCATTCTTACAGGAGCAGAATCTATTTCAAATGTTTTGTTATCAGCCCATCTCTTCTGGATCTGTGCCTCAACCTCCTTCAAGTAATCAACCTTAGCTGTGCTCTTCCTGTCAACCTACAAAAGGAAAAACAGGCACACGTTCAAATCAGAGTTAAATCTGGATGAAGCAGAGAATAAAGATGGTACAGCTGGTGTAGTGTCAAGTCTAAACACAGTGGTACTATAATTATGCAGGCATATAATAAGTGATGGGAGCTCTACAAATGAGACCAAAATGAGAGACCTTTGAGTCCTGGCTCGAGTCCTGGCTCGAGTCCTGGCTCGAGTCCTGGTTGAAGTCCTGGCTCAACCTAGCTCAAGTCCTGGCTCGAGTCCCGGTTCTAGTCCAAGCACAAGACCTAGATCCTGACTTGGTATTTAGGTATCCTCCCTGTACAGAGGCCAGTAAAGATAAACCGATTCCTTATTACAGTGTATCTTATGATGAATCAATAATATTGGTGTCGTACCTGATCCTGTTTCCTGGGCTCCACCATTCGATTTACCACTCTTTCACCACAACAATTCAAGGTGATACTAAACAGAATGGCTGAAATCTTGGGTTGATATTATAAAATAATACCTATTTACCATCATTTTGGCCACAATAGCGTTCACAACTCATTGCACGGAATAAATGCAGGATTGCATCAGATTTGCAACTGCAAATTAAATGACTGCATCAACACGAACCACAGGGATGGCATCAACATAATTTGCACAACGAATTATTCAATACAAGATATCAATCTGCCATTGCTGGCGCTCTTTAGTCTTATTTCATTTCTATAAAACCACAGCTTAAAATATTTGCATTTTGCGTACACTGAACCACAGCTGAGGAAGTTAAGAAACGTCCACAAAAAGTGAAAGATAAAATAAGAGAATGTAACAGTCAGGGTTTAAACACGCGATCGAATTCGAACAACATCACGCGTTTTAACCATTTAAACCAGTACAGGCTACTCACCGACATCTCTTCCACAGTAAAGCAGTATCGCCGAGCTCCAAACCTCAGAAAATTGGGAGAAAATTTAATAATACCGGCAGAATAATCAATCACACGTGCGCCAAGGCGCATTACAGGAAATTTGCAAACTAATATTTTGGGCAGCGGTAAGTGCAGTTGGAAGGAAGTTACGTCATGTAAGTACCATCAGAGGACCCATCAGAGGGCATTCTCCAAAATGGCGGATCATTTTGATGAGAAGAGCGGAGTTGTTCCATCAGAAACCTCCTGGGGAAATTGGGCGCAAACGATTGATGAAGTTTTCATCGAGGTCAATGTACCCAAAGGAACTAAGGGAAGGGAAATTTCTTGTGATATCAAGCCAAAGAGTATAAAATTTTGCTTAAAAGGACAGGAGTTTTTCAAGGTGACTCAGTCAGTGATTTAATTTTCCATCGTATTTAATTTGGACATCGAATTGATCTAATTAACAGGCCATCGAATTTTTATGGTTTCCCTCATAGGGAGAACTCTTTGGAACTGTTTTAGCCGATGAAAGTACTTGGGTTTTAGGTTTGTATTATTACGTTTCTTATTTTTTAAACTTATAACTTTAAGTTATTTCTACGGTTTCATCCCTGCTTATTTTGTGCAATTGTGTAGTTTGAGATTATTCAAACCTAGAAAAGAAGGACAAAAAATGTGACAGTGTATCGTTCCCTTGTAACTCTTAAAACGTTGAGAATGTTTGTCATCCTCAAATTATTGGGCATTGGACTGCCAACTCTTCTTATATTAATTGCCCATTTTACTGTGTTTTCTCCCCAACCGAGATCGTGCCAGAAACCGTGAAAGGGTCTACTCAGGTGTTGGTTTTCCTAGTCAAGGTGATGTTAGTGGGTAATTTTGATATCAGCCATTTTTCTGTTTGTTTCAGAGGACAATGAGCTTGTTCGAATTATTTTGGTGAAATCTGGCAGAGATGCAGCTAACTGCTGGCATTCACTGTTAACAAGTGAATATTCTGCTGACCCATGGACATTTAATGAAATGGAAAAGAAGTTAACCTTAGAAAGGTTCCAAAAAGAGGTACATCTAGCAAGAGTGATCACTTGTCTCCCTTTCATATTGTTTAGCAGTCAGGTGTCATGAGTACAAATAAGCTCAAAGTTGCAATAATAATGGTTTTGAAGTAAAATAGTGTCATCAAATATTTGACCCTAATTAAAATTTTGCAACAAATTTTGTTAAATAAATCTGTTTTCTTTGTTTGCTTATTTTCATTTTGTCATTTTCTCTTTGGCAGAATCCTGGCTTTGACTTCAGCAAAGCTGATATATCTGGAAACTATTCTGGAGGAGGTCCACAATTTCCAAGCTGACAAAACGTCTTAATGGTTTCATAAATATAATACTGAACAAGTAAAAACACAGAGAGTCTGAAAAAAACCCATAGTTAACCAAATGCTTCCAAGATGCTTTGTAATTGCTTATTAGAACTTATAGATGTGATATTAATCTGAAAATGTTTGCTAGCAAGTTTTGAAATATTAAGTTTGTTTTAATTTATTCACAATGTAATTACCCTTGGGTTTTGCATTTTGGTTAAAGATCCATCATCAAAAGTCATAGAACTGAAGAGAAGTAACTACAGAAAACATACATCTCAATTTTCTACATAATTTTCGTCTATAAACATTTCACCATCATTTGGGTAAATCCTGGCTGGAAGTGACATGCTGCTCACCATACTCAATACTTAATCAGAAAGTCAACGGCACAGTTGAAGTCATTAGACAAAGTCATCTCAACTCATCTTACATGTAGTTGGTACAAAGGGGGAGCAAAATTAAGAAGTATTTTTAAAAATGCTATGGTGGCACAATAAGATTACTTGTGATCAATTACCAGCACTTTGATGCTTATCTGCAGAGAACCTAATCAGGTTGTTGGAAAAAAAATTGGAAGCGATTAAAAATACCTGGCAATTAGCTAAGAGCCAACTACAACTCTTTATAAAAAGACCAAGACAACTTGAAACAACAATGGTTCCATCAATTCCAGCCTGCTCAACTCTCCCCTCCCCCACCCACTCCTTCCAGGCATTGTTGGGCATTTGACAACTTTTCCTGCCTCAGGGTAGGGCAGGGTATAGGCTATTACCATAGCAGGTCAACCCAGGGTATGGTGTGGCAATGTGAATTCAGTTTTAAAAGGCACACATTTTTTGTTGTCAATTTAACATGTCTCAATTGCCCCAAGAGCAAAATATTTAAAAATGATAAACTAATTGCTTGAGTCCTGTGCATTTCTTGTGTCAGAGCCTCAACCCCACATGTGCAAAAATTTGTATGTACCTGTGAAGTAAGGCGGATGAGCGGGCTTGGAATTAATGGCGCCACAAGAAACAGCATCCGTCAGCAAGATGAAACAAATATTGTAAAATACAGCCACAAAACCTATTTGTCTTTTGTGCTGATTGTGCAGAGAAGATTAGATAGTAAAAGTCTGTTGGACCAGACCAAAAAATAAGTAAATAAATAAATAACTTGTAAATAAATAAACACTAGTTTTACCAACTTTCTTTCTTTATGCCTTCCTTTCTCTCTTTTTTCCTCATCTGTTTCTTCCTTGTTTTCCCCAAAACTTCAAAAAAAACTCTACCTTTTACAAAAAGTTAACACTGTCTATGATCGTTTGACACGCGGAAGCCGGCGAAAGTATCCTCCTTCTCACCACCCCCGGGGTCACAACTTTTGTCAACGTCTACGTCAAAATGACGCATTTCTGGTGCACTTCTTCAGCCAATCAAAATGTAGTGACATCATCGTACATCAGAATAATTTAGAAGCGAAGAAGTCGAAAGCCGCCGTGGCTGTTTTGTGGTGAGATACACTTGTTAAAACGTGGGATTTTAAAATGTATACTGCATAGAAGATGTGGAGATTTATCTACAGAAAAGGTAAGTACATGGTGTTGTTTATTTGATTGCGAACTTGCGAAATATAATTACAGAAACATTGGTATAAGGTAAGCCGAGGTAAGTTTACTAATCGTTCAACTACAATATCGTTTCTTTTAGTAAACGGCCGTCCTGGGAATTCGTCCCTTCGTCTTGGGCAGATCCAAGCTGCTGAGAAGAATGAAGATGTGAACAATTCAGTACCAGATGAAAAAGACAAATCGCTTCATAAGGCTAAAGCTCGCCATGGGAAAGTTCTTCTGGCCTCAGAAGTCAGCTTTAGAAAGTGCGACTTCGAGAGCGAAAGCGAAGCGCTCAAGTTAGGCTTTGACCTAGTGCGATGTATTGTGCAGAGCATTCAGATCGATCGGAGAAATCGAACGCTGACTTCCTCGACTCGCTCTGCCAGTGGGAAAAAGGAAGGAGATTCCAATCCATTTTACGGGGAAATGCACTCGGTAAGTGAAACTGAAGAATATCCTTGAAAACTGAAACCATAATTGCTATAAAACCCCGCGTGTTGTCTAGTCTGTTTTCACGTGCTTACAAACTACGAGACTGGAATTGCTAGCTGACTTTTATTCACTGGCAAGAAGATACAGTTAATGAACCTTCTTTTAAGGTTGTACTTATCATACATACGATGTATAACCGTGTTTATTTATTTTGTACAGTTCTCCAACTTTGTAGATATCTGTGTTGACGGCACTCATGCATAAAGATCAGAGTCCCTCTGCAACCATGCGTGAAAAGAACATGGTTGCATCATCGGCATTTTGTTTTGATAGTTGAATGAATATATTATTCTTGTGAGGAAGGCTTGTCCAAGTGTGCTGCTTAACTAAAATATTGTGCTTCATTTGCTGATAAGTGAAACTTGATATTTTTCAGTGGTGTAAAGGAGTACTTGCTTTGTCCAGCCTCCTTGCCTGCCGCAAGTTTATAACAGATGAAAAGTCTCCGCTGCACATCAATGTTAAGACTATTCCTTCTCAACTGTTGTCAAGAGTTCTGTCATCGTACAGGCCAAATGCCACTCTCACAGTGCTTCCTGTGGCTGAGAGCGTCCAGACTTTCAGAGGGAATGCCAAGCCTACAGACTCCTTGGACCAGGCTATTGCAACTTTCCAGTCTTCCTTCAGTGAATGCACAGCAGCCACCCAGAATAAGCTAGGTATACAGTTTGCATCACTGAAACAGCACCAGAAAGCATTTTTACTCTTCATGCAAGCCAGTGAACGAGGTCATCCTTTAGCACAGTTTAACCTGGGCTTGTGTTATGAGAATGGAAAAGGAGTGGAGAAAGACTTGGCCAGGGCTGCAGAGTGTTATAAAAATGCTGCTGCCCAAGGCCAGGCTGGTGCCATGTACAACTTGGCTCTGCTTTACATGGAAGGAGATGGAGGCCTTCCAAAAGATCCAGAAAAATCTTTAGAACTTCTTAAAGGAGCTGCAGAGAATGGCTTGTGTAAAGCACAGTCATACTTAGGATTGTACTATGCAGATGAGTCTTCCAGCCACTGTGATTATGAAAAAGCTGTCCCCTATCTCAAAATGGCTGCGGCTAAAAAAGACCCATCAGCAGAATACAACCTTGGCATCTGCTATGAGCGTGGCCTTGGCATTGAAAGGGACATGCCAAAGGCTGCAAGTCTGTACATGTCTGCGGCTGAGCACGGCCACACTGGGGCACAATACAATCTAGGGGTTTTCTATGAGCATGGTCTGGGAGGATTTGCAGTTGATAAGAAGGAGGCAGCACGGTTTTACCGCATGGCAACAGAGGCTGGAGATGAAGATGCTCTGCACAATCTTCTACTCCTTCGAAAGCAGATGAAGACAGAGAATCTAACCAGTCAGTCAGTTAAGCCTCAAAATCTTGTGTTCTCACTGCTCAGAGAAATGGCTTTTCCAGCTGCAAGGCATGGTCACGTATTGCATGAAAATAAAAGTATACCTCGCTGTGCTTCTAGCCCTGGAATTTTAGATGAGTCTACAGCTAGTGATCAACAGAATACGTCTTCAAACAAAGCACCAAACGCTTTGCTGGCATTTTGACCCCGTGGGATTTCAAGATGATCATGTCACTCACAATATTTTTATCATCTGCTTACTTTTGTAAAGGTAGAGATACGTTTGTGATGACTCATTACTAACTTCAACTGAGATCAACTGAAGCCAATTTTGTTAGAGATTTGACAAATACAGGGTCAAAGACAAATGTTATTAAATATTGTGTATCAGTCAGGATCTGATAGCCTTAAAAGTCTGATTGTGTGAACTTCTGGAGAAGTCTATTGCTAGATCCAAGTCAACTTCCACTTTAGGTAAAATACATGTATGGTAAAGGTAAAGTCTGCATATGAGCCAAGTGGCCCATCCAGCAGTGCTTATCTCTGGTTTCGGTAGCATGAAGCGACTAGGAGTATTTTTACTTCACCCTGGATGGGATGCAAGTCCATTACAGGGTTACTCCCACCATTAAATTCAGCGGTACCCATTTATACACCTGGGTGGAGAGAGGCACTGTGAGAGTAAAGTGTCTTGCCCAAGAACAAAGCACAATGTCCCCTACTAGGGCTCAAACCCAGACCACTCAATCCAAAATCAAGCACACTAACCCTAAGGCCACCGAGACCCCCACAAAAATACATGTGTACGCCTTATGGTAGCTGTAATGACTGTAGAAACAGGTAACATTTGATCTGCTTAGAGAAGTCAGCCTGAGTTGTAGTAAAAGATGGTTTTCACAGGCTTGTGGTTATATCACTGATGAAAACCAGCTATTGGTAACTTAAGCCTGGTTCTCATATCCCGNTGTTTTTGACAAGTCCTCAAGGGTCTTAAGTCTTGTATTTCCAAGAAATTGAATTTTTCATGAACATCGCCATATTTTAGGGTACCATACCACCTTAACGAACCTGAG